TTTTTTTTTTTTTTTTTTTTTTTTTTTTTTTTTTTTTTTTTTTTTTTTTTTTTTTTTTTGAGAAAATACATAAAAATCGAGCAAAAATACGTTAGGAATAATTTTTTATGAAGAATTTTACAGCATGTATCTCAAATTTGGATATATTTGTTTTATTTGTTATATTGTTTCATGCTTATATAATATACAATTAAATTAATATTTATATCAAAAATAATATTGTCAATACAGCTAATAACAATTCCATATCTTTTTAAAAAAAAATGGGGAAAGATAACTTATTTATTGAGTAGCCTACGTATATATATCGAATCTATTCATTTAATATTGAAAAAAAAGAAGACAATTGATAGGATATTTAATTTTTAGCATTTATTTTGTGATAATATACTGGTCTAATTCGACCATGCAATCATATACATGCCTGATTATTGATGTATATTGACTGCAGTGTACATATATCAGTATGAATTAGAATATGTCGAAGACCAGCATGATTTTTTATGTAAATTTATGTATCGATGAACGTATGTTTATCTTTATAATGTTACATATGGAACAATGTTTTAATTATCACATCTATTTGTCAGTTGATTCCAGTGTGATATAAAATATCTTTAAAAAAATCATATAAGTTTAATGAAAAAAAAGATATAATATTTCTATATCTCTGTCAATTTTGAAGTAAATAATTATGCTGGTTAAAGCAATTACTTCAATTACATGCGTTATAGGTAAAGTCTGTGGACAAATATTTAATTTGTAAATAAGTAATAATACGTTATATATATATATAAGTTTTCAGAATAATATAATTATGAGCACAATTTATAGAATGGAGTCAATTTATTGATGAAGTTACATGTGTATGTGAAGAAATATCTTTCTAATATCAAGACGAATTGAATCGAATTACAGATGACTCCGTTCACGGTAGATTAATTAAAATAATTAATACAACGAATGGTATTATATTTAGTATTCAAATCGCACAGAAATCTTCGTTTCATCGCATAAAATTTAATTCAAATTTTCACTTTAAATTGAATTTTGGACTTTACCTTTAACATGTACATATATAATATGTATGCGAGTATTTTATATATTCGGTTGATATTTCGGACATAGAATAAATTCATTCGTGTTATCGACATTATCAACAGGGTTCCTATAAGCTCATAATAATTTCGAATACTGTATATAAATATATATTTTATTGTACGTACATTTTTTCTTTTCCACGATACACATCGATGATATTCGCGTTTTTATTATTTCTTTACCTATAAGTTTGGATTTTCTTTCTCAGGTGATGAATAATATATGTTATATTTTTTTGTTCAATTTTTATAGCAAGTATATATCATTTCTTAAAATACACAACGAAACCACTCTTTTCTTGTACGTCTATGATCGTATAAATATTAAAATTAAAAGTAAAATTGAAATATTTTAATGTCAATATTATTAATACCAATATATATTGATTAAATAAATTAATCAATATATCATGATTTTATATATTTTATATATAATATATTAAAAAAAATGAATTTAATATTCTAATAAATAGAAAAGCATTCTTATTATTTATTACTAAATTGATCTCTTTAGATAATAAAAAAAATCTTGCTTCGATTGATATTATTCTTATGTTTGTGTTCAATATGGAGATATTTCAAAATAAAAAAGAAAAAAGGAAATATATAAATTTAAAATGTGAAGTACAAGAAAATAGATGTTTTTTACGGTATCCGGACACATTCTTAATTATTTAGGTGACGGTTTTATTTATGGGTATATATACTGAATATGTGTTCGATAAAAAGTGCTCAAGAAACTGATGCAACAAATCAACATTTATTAATTCTGCGATCTTACACGAAGACATGAAGTAATCAAGTATTGTAAACTAACACACGAAGTAATTTTGTTCTTGTATTTACTGTATTCGACAGTCAATGAGCGTATTTAATTATTATGCTTTGACTGTAAAAAGATAGACTGATTCTAAAAAAGAAAAAAATGTTACATATTTTACTGTTACATCGATTTTATATTTTCTTTTTTTCGTTTTCACTTCATTTCTTATTTTAAATTTAAAAAATATATATATTTACGTTTAAATAAACGTAAATCATAAAAAAATATGCAAAAGAAAATAATATAAAGAAAATAATTGAGAGAAAAATATCAAATTAATGTTTTTTTTTGTATAGACATTTTAAATGTATCAAATTTTCATTTCTAATGTTGTCGCTTATGACAATAGATCTAACGGGACAAGCTACAGAATAATAGAAAGTTTTATACTGAAGAAAGTTTTACACTGTAGCTGGGTGTCGTATTACCAAGAGAGCTCATTTATACTTATGTTTACATATATTTCAACGAAAAAAAATAATTTTATTTTGATTATTAAATAATTCGTATACATTTTTTAACAAGTTATACGTCATAGACGCTTTTATTTTATCAAGAATATAAGGTAATACTATGTTTCTAATTATGTTTATATATTATTTTTAAACCCTTCTTATTCTTATGACAAATAATATAAATTATGTTTTACAAATTGTATAATATAATCAAACAAAATCTTAGCTTATTTTATGATTCATGATTTTTGAATCAGATTTAGATTATATCTCTATAGTTTCGAAAAATACTTTGGATACATTTAAATATGGCAACAAAATATCTACATTATATCGATTCTACGTTATAAAACGATTATCAACAAATAAATAAAATATGTTTTTATGTAATATATGTATCATACTTTTATGGTACATATATTATTCTATTCTTATATTTTTCTAAATAATGTAAACTTAATATTTGGTACCATGTTTAAACATTTTTAACAATATAAATTTTATTATAAATTCAAATTCTAAGTAATATATAATAAATTATCAAATATAAAATAAAAATTTTTATGACAAAATAATGGAAAAAATAAAATCTAAATATCTATTATAAGTTTAATATTATATTCAAGAATATGTTTCAAGAAATTATTATCTAACATGTTTAGATAACATAAAGTAGAACGATCACATGATTTGTTATTAATATTACTAAATTTTATTTTTAGGAAATGTCCGGATGAGATATAATAAAAATTCAGGTAAAAACCGATATTATTCAATGATTACTAACATTGCTATCCTGCTCTTTTCTTCTTTGCTGCATTGACTTCTAGTCTACGAAACGACTTACCGAGTCTAGTATAAGAATGCAAGCACGTGGACTAAAAGCCTTTTGATTCGTAGATCCGGTAAAATCACGTGAAATACACGAGGTGAAGCGCATGCGCAGTAGGAGAATACCGGCTTGTCGACGATGTGCTGTTGGATGACACTCACGCCGGTGCTTTCAGACGCAATCTGAAAGTATAGGAGGTTAGATCGCATAATTCGTGTTAACAACCAAGTATCCACCTCCAATATCTTCTTGCGTTTAACAAATTCTACGGTAATAAATCCGTAAGTGTAAATTAAGAAATAAAAAAAAATGATTAAAAATTCGTGACATTTTAAGAGATTGGCACAAACGATGCATTGCTTCGTTTTCGCCACGTGAATACTGCCGTCCGTCTTATCGTTTATATACCAGTAATAATTTACTCCATTCGTTCATTTTGTTTTATTTTACTTTATTTCAACTTTTGGAAATTAGTTTGAATTCGAAGAAACAAAATATTTAGATAGACAAGAAAATCTACTATATTACATATTATGTGCTTATTTTAAAGAGATTTATCAAATATAAGTTTTAAAGATCTTTCTATTGAAGATTTCAAAAACTAAAGAAAAAAGGTGACAAAAAGTATATATAGAAAATTGTGCGCATTCATAAAAAAAAGGAACGTGTGTGCATAAAGGCTCGTCATTCCCAACAAGAAGAAAATCTAGTCTTTCTGTTTTATTCCACTTTTTGGTGGAACGGTTGTCCAGTTCAAAAAAAGATGTGAGTATTAATATTTTCGTTACTTAATATATATAACTTAAGATAAACATTAATTACATTAATTCATTTTTTGTTGCTATTTAAAAAAAAATGCATTAAATGTTACAATACATTCCAATTCTGTTTGTGCAACATGCGCAATTAATTGATTCGTATTGCGGTCGATGCCACATGAGAATAAAAACATTCGACTGCGCATTGACAACGATTTCTTATATAATATAAGCGTGTAGGATTACACAAGTGATTGCTCATTATAGGATACTGCAGTTATAAAATTTAAATAAAATTTATTTATAATTGCATTCTCTTGATAGAAACTTATTATTCACAGGAAACTTTGTTTACAAACAAATTATAAGATAACAATCATAAGTAATATGTAATAAATTCACTAGAAAAAAGTTTATCGAATAGTATTATCATACATGCATCACGCGATGTATCGATCTACATTTATTTCTTAATTATACAAGAAATGAATATACGCGCATGTTATATATGCATATTATTTAATGGAAACAGTGACACATGAGTGAGATAATCGACGTAAAAAATGACGATTTTTACATATACCAAGGAAAGCGAAAGCTCCAGAAAGCTTGTTGCATTGCATTTCAAAGAAATGCTTTTATCGAATAACAAAGAAAAGAAATTAACGCGATTGATTAGCGCTTGTGGCCGGAAAGAGCATTATTAGCAACATTTATTATTTAATCTCAAACGTTTTGAATGATGCGAAACAGAAAGACCGATTAGTTAGCTCCTGACCTCATGACAACGGAAATAATAAATAAATATTGTTCGTGATTCCTTCCATAGTTTTTTTTTTTGTTCGTTTTACTGATTACAACTATATTTTTAATCCATATCATTTGAAGTTAATTATTTTGAATGTTTTCTATAAATAAAAAATGTAATTCTAACTAATAAGATTTTGTTTTAATTAATTTTTAGGATTAGGATTAGGATTAGGATTAGGATTAGGATTTTAAGGATTCAATTATTCTAACTTATTAAAAAAAAAATCTTTAAACAATATACAGTATAAGGTTAATAATGATTCACAAAGATCGTATTTCAGATTTTAGTCGATTTTGATTTCTTCTTATAACAGGCTTGACTGCTCTTTTAAAATGCATTTTATTCGTTTTTACGCACGTATATTTAGTGCTTCCGTATCAAGTACTTATCTACTTGTGTTTTCCGGTCACTCGTCCCTCTTTAGACGCCTACCTGGGGAACAGTTGTATGAACATAAGACGAATTGTTTACACGTATTATTCCCACGCATATACAGCGACACTATATACTTCCGGAGAAAGTACAGAGAAATATTGCAATTTACATCCATTACATGTAGTACATTCTTTATGGATATTTTGCAAATACTTTACATAATAATATGTATTATAATTATTTCAATTTAAAATCCGTTCGGTAATTTAAAATAATATATCAAAATTTGTATTACCATTTTTATAAAATTTATTATATCGAATATAAGCTTTATGCAATTTATTTTTTTCAAATTAATATAAAATTTTTAAAAGTATAAAGTTATATGTTTGTACAGTTGATAAATTTAAAAAGAGTAACATGCATGAATGTGCAATAGTTTGTCGCCCTTCTTAATGATTTATATAATTCTTTGTCCTTTTAAAAACATATACAATTCATTTTTAGCCGGATTAGCATGTGTTTTGTGAATGCTATTATATTATCAATTCTGTTCTCTTCAGCATATTTAATAATTATAAATAAAATATAATATGTTTTCAAATCAATATTGTTATTTAATATTTTTTACTCAATATTTTTAAATTTATTTTATTGAAATTTATTTTAAAAATGAAAAAATTAAAATCTCTGACAAGAAACATGATTAAATTGATATATAATGATACTTAAAATTGATATATAAAGATACTTATTTACTTATTTATATATATTATTTATGCATCAATAATCAATTGATCTATTAGTATTTTATGGTTTATTGTTTTATATATAAATCAAATGTTAGAAGGCTATCTCCGTCTAAATAGAAATCTCAATTCCTCAAAGTAATTATATTCTAAATATGGCGTGACCTTATCAGATGCATAAATTTAGAATTATATATATATATATATATTTTAATCAAATTGTAATATCTTAAATATCATATATATTATTTTTATATTGAAAGAGAATAACTTATTAAGATTGAAATAAATGATATTTATTTTATCGATAAAATTGTATTCTTGTTGGCATTTCTCTTAAAACATCGAATACTTAAATATTTCGAAATTAAAAAATTTTTAATTTTAAGCATTTTTAAATTTTTTTTACAAATGCATGAGCGCAATTCAATATTTTGTGCAAAGATCTCTCTCAATACCAAATACATACAATTTTTCTGCTTTTTTATTGATATAGAAAAGCATTTCTCGTATCTATTCTTTATGGTTTCGAAGATTAAACTTTGTCCGGTAAGATTCCGCGCTTGAGGATATAGACAGCAAGGATATATCGGTTATCGGCCCGCTTCGAATCAGAAACAACGCGATAAGAGACAGAGGATCTCAGTGGCGATCTCAGTGGCGTCTCTGATTAATAAAAAATTGATTTTCAAAAATTTTTATGATCTCAACCAATAGCTTATAACGAACTAATCATACCATTGATGAATTATTTGATAAAATTTTTAAAAATATTTCTTAGATGTGTAGCTGTTTTATATATAGATATACATGTGATAAAATATAAAAATTTTATGACTTATTTTAATTATTTAATTAATTTTTATATTTATTATTCATAAAGAACTAATTTATTTTTTTAAAACTGTTTCTATTATTTATAATATAATTATTAATATTAGTATTCATTATTTCATATCTTGTCGATTGTCTTCTTATTAGATAATGATTTATTGTGTTTTCTTTTTAATAAAAGTTGCTTAAGGATGAGTAAGATTAGCATATTTCTCAAGGTTGTTTTTTAATGACATGCACGTGATAGAAACTGATGCTATAAAAAGAAGATATTCAAATTTCGCCAACTGAATTCTCTATATTATTTTATATATATTGTTTTTGACTCTTTCTATTTCTCTCTTACTTAAATCGCACTATATTCGCAAAAGAACCGATTACAAAAATTTTTTTTTCAATCAAATTTTTATGTATTTTTATACAAAATCAATTATTTGCAATATGCAATATGTTGTAGAATTTTATCAAAAATTTATTTTAAGAAATAGTATTTTGAATAGTATTTTTATTAGAATAATATTTTAGTATTTTAAA